AAAAAAAAGTGAAAGAAAAAATACAGTTGAATAACGGTCAATTTGACTTGGCTAAAAAAAACTTTTTTTTTTTAGTGATGGATACTTTTGGTTGTCCTTCTGAAGCTGATGACAACGTCAACAAATCGACAACGATAATCAAATTGCTCGCTACAGTATACAATTCGAACGGTTCTTTAACGTCACTGCTTTTTTTTTTTTTCTTAGCCTTCTTTCCTCTCTGTCTCTTTCCATCACTTTTTCGTCCTCATTTACCAATTCTGTAGACTTAGTACTTTTTCACTGTTTCGTAGCTAAAAATATGGCAAATTTGCTGTCTGCTGTGATAAGCATTCAATATTTTAAGGCATGTTGCGTTATCTGAGCAGTTTATGACACGAACAATTATAGTTGTAACAACAGTTATGATGAAAAACGGAAAATCTGATATACCGCAGAAGAATTGAATAGAAGACGTACCTGTGCGGTACAGACAGTTGACAGTTCAGACTCTGTTTGTAGATTAACGTCAAAAATTAACCTACTGTTTTGATTTAATTTTGCTACACTGAAGAACATTTGAACAGTTTCTAAAAGTTTTACACATAAGTCAGTAACTACGACTTACAATATCGAAAATATACACATCTGTTTGATAGAGAGATAAACGGCAAAAATTTTGGGCAAATAAAATTCAAAAAAAAAAAAGCAGTAAATTGAAACAACAATAACAAAAAAAAATAATAAATAATAATCAGAATTTTTAATTTTTAGAAGAAAAGAAGCCAGAAATTATAGATCAAAAAAATATTTAAAAAAGAAAACTGATAAACCAAAAAATGTTATCTTTCAAAAAGAAAAAAAAAAAACTAATTTTTATGTTTGTTTGGTATGTATAATTATTTTTAAAACAAATAGAAATTTAAAGATTATTTATTATTGTTTTTTTTTTTATTTTGTTAAATTTTCAAGTTGTTAAAATTTGACTTAAACATTTCTTTATTTATTGCAATTTTTGGTGAGCGATAATAAAATTACAATTTCGTTGAGGTTAAAAAAAAAAAAAGCTCAATTATTTTGTTGCTGTTGTCAATTTTTTTTTTTTGGAAAGGAAAGTATGTGAAAAATTTTCTAAGCTTTATTTAAAAACCTGTTGTAAAAATGTTGTTTTTCTTTTTGCAAAAAACAAAAAGTGTCGGATAGAGAAGTTGTGGAGAAGAAAAAATAGATAGAAAAATTAGAAATGCATAATAAAATGTTGAATTTTTAGATGGTATTTTTGTAATTGTTTAAAGAAGAGAAAAAGAAACTAATTTTTGACATCGATCTTTGCTAAAGTTTTTACTGCTAATTATGACAGTCTACAGTTTTAAAAAGCCGAAAAAGTTGGAAGCAACATCGTTGATAGGTGTTAAAGTTTTAGGGAATTCTGACAGGCTGAAACTGTTAATGCATCTTCTGTTAAATTTTTGACAACGCAAATTTGATTGGAAAAAGAAAAAAAATTTTTGACAAAGTTTAGAAAAAAAACATAAAAAATAAAAATCAAATTTGTTAAAAAAAAGTCTGATTTCTTTGTTATTATTTATTTCATTTTTTGCTTTTCAAATGCCATTTATAACGTTTATATTACTGCTGT